AAACTTTGGACAAGATGGAACAGACACTAGGAGAGAGGGAAAAAGAGGGAAAATCAGGAATTGGTTGAGGGGAAGGCCCGATTTAATTGTTTTTAAAAATACCCAGCGAGGGAGCCGCGCGAATGTCAGGGGGAAGGTTATTCCAGAGGCGAGTAGCCACCGCCGAGAAGGCCCGATTTCTTGTCTTTTCTTTCCGGGCCTCCTTCGGCATTAGGCTCCTCAGCCTCACCTCCTGACTCGCGCGAGTGACACGGGTAGAACTTGGTGGAAGTAGGCGTTCCGCCAAGTATCGAGGCCCTAAGCCGTTTAGGGCTTTATACGTGAGCATCAACACTTTGAAGTCGATGCGGAATTGGATGGGCAGCCAATGCAGTGCAAGAGGCAGAAGAAAAATTATGCCTCATAGGTTGAATATTGTACACACTACATTAAACCATAGTAGCACAGGTGCAAGGCTCTCACTCGGGGTGTGTTTGCCTTCCTGAGCACAGGAAGCTACAGTGGACATAATATGGAAGAAATTTAGGCGAACAGCCTCTATTGTAATACCCTGGGTTCAGTCCCTTGCCTTCACTTTTTCTTCCTCTGACACTCTTTCATACTTACTCTTCCTCATGTGCCCCCCCAATCATTGTCTTGCCCTGTGCTCATACTTGTTAAAAATTCCACATTTGGATCAACATAGATAGCGTTGCAAATAGTTCTACCCGAGTTGAAGCTAGCTTGTCTTCTCATACATGGCATGGTTAGTCATTTGTGGTATTTATAATGTTGTAAAGAAGATCTGTGGGGTCAGTTTCTTCTCAGTAACTTCTTGTCTCTTGGTGACAGTGTGATTCAGTGGCTTCTACAGTCAACCCTTGACTTATGAACGGCCCTACATACGGACTTTACGATTTACGAACAGCTCTGTTGGCAAAAATTGGCATCGACTTGCGAACGGAGCTCAACCTACGAACGAGGTCCGGCTCCATTTGCAAGTCAATGCCATTTTTTGCCAACGGAGCCATTTGTAAATAGCTCCATGCAAAAAGGCAGGGAGAAAGGGCTGGAAATTCGGATTTCCAGCCCATTCCCCCTGCTTTTTTGCTTTTTGAAATGCTGGAACATATTAATTCTGCTCCCATGCATTTCAGTGGGAAATGGTACTTCGATTTACGAACTTTTCAACGTACGAACGTTGTTCAAATCAGTTCGTAAGTCGAGGTACCACTGTACTTGGCAATATCTGTGGCAAAAGGAAAGTATGTAAAACAAAAGCAGTATCTTCCTTGTTTTAACATTAAGGCAGCACAGAAATACAGTGGTGCCTCGCAAGACAATGTTAATTCGCTCTGCAAAAAACGCTGTCTTGAGAAAACATTGTCTTGTGAAAAGAGGTTCCAATGGAAGTAACATCCTCTTGCGAAAATTGTCCATAGAAAACATCGTCTTGCGGGACACGGTTCCCCATTGGAATGCATTGAAATCTATTTAAAGTGTTCCAATGGGGAAAAATCGTCTTGCGAAAATCGTCCATAGAAAACATCGTCTTGCGAAGTGCAACAGAGATCGCAAAAACCAATTGTCTTGCGGATTAATCATCCCACGAGGCAATCGTCTTGTGAAGCACCACTATATATTAAATGCAAGATTTTTTTCAGACATGTATTTCAATTTTATTTTATCATTCTTTTAATGAGTGAGTGTTATATTTTATTATCACAGCATAGTGAGATAGGCTATGCTGAGATATACGCTGTCTTCAGTCTAGGTCAGTAGGGGAAACTTGGATTCACTTCTGAAGCTAACAGTCTAGGCCCTATAGCAAGGATGAGGAATGTGCAGCTCTCTAGATGCTGTTGGGCTGCAACTCCTATCACCTGTCACCAGTGGCAAGACTGGTGAGTTTTAGTCCACATCTGGAGAACCATGCATGTCCCACCCCATACTACAGAGATGATGTGGATCTCTTAAGATGCAGCCAAGCTTAGTGGGAAATTCTGAAAATTACACCTGTGTACTGTGTCCCTGTTTGGATCCTGATTGCATACTTCAAATCAATGCCTTATGCATTTCTGAATATATTCCTTCAGATCCATTATGGGATCCTAAACCAAATTGTGATTCATAAATAGAGCTCGAGGATTCACATTCATTTAAAAAAGAAAGCTCTTAATGGCTGTAATTGCGTGTGTGTGTGTGTGTGTGTGTGTGTGTGTGTGTGTGTGTGAGAGAGAGAGAGAGAGAGAGAGAAGAGAGAGAGAGAGAGAGAGATTGCTTGACAGCATCATAGACCAAAAACAAAACACAGAGAAAATCAAAAACATAGACCACAAAGATACCATGAATTTCCAAACAGATTATGATCTTCCAGAGTCTAAGCTCATACAAAGAGCCCCCACAAGGAAGAAAATATCTTCAGATGCATCTCCCTTCACGTGTAGGTGAATGATGCCACTGGAAACAGAGGATGGCAGGTCAAGCATGCACCCCATTATTTGTGGTGACTGTATAATAGCTGAATATGACTATTGCCTGAGTTGTGTGTCAGACTGTGCTGCCTCAGAAAGCTCACACGAGTGCAGTCACATACACACTCAGTCCTAAAATAAGGCAGAAGGGAAACTGACATGTAAAAGCAAACTACTGCAGGAAACTGAAATGAGGAGAAAGTGTGTCATGCAAGACAACATATAGTGACTTCACATAGGGACCCCTTCCAGTTTCTCATTGCTTAGATATTATGGGAGATGTCCCCTCTCTTCACTGGGAATGAAACTGCCAGTTAAGAGCAGGTTCCCATCTCCACATCCTCATATACCATCACTTAAACATCTTCCTCGCATGGTTATTTAGCCTTTCTGCTTATCCCATTAATTCTGGTCCTCTTTTTGCACTTTTCTGCATATACCTTTATTTTTTAAACAACTGAACAATGGCTGTCTGTTTCATTTTGGACCATTCCTATCTGGATTAATTCCAATAGTGTTGGATTCAGCCAAAGTGGGTGCACAGCTCCTCTGAAAACAATGAGATACACTATAATGCTCCTTTATATTATCATTTCACTATTTTTGTCTTACAACATTCAGAATGTTGAATATATGCAATACAGATCAGAGAGTGATAAGGAGGGGAAAGTGGGTAGGGAATAGGATATTGTCATGGAGGTTTCCCTCCTGTGATTGATCAAGGTGCTGCTTGAAGGAATGCAAATGTTTGACAAACTGTCTGACAGCAGTTTGACTTGTCAGTACCAATACCATGCCTCTTCCTGTATTGCAGGGATTCAGATAGATCACTGGATATTTTTGATGAGAAATCGCATCCACTCACGGTAAATTTGTTTTGTTAGTTCATTCTGATTAGTTGAATACATCCAGTCCAAACTGTTAGGTTTTTACTAATGCTTACTTGTTCAGTTTACTTATAAAGTAAATCTAGGTTTTCAGGATAAATTTTAGCTTCTCTTGAATCTCAGACAAGTGTTGCAGTCCATGTACATCTGAACTGAGTTTTCTTTCTAAGTCTAAAAGACTTAGCCGTCCAGCGTGGTCAGTTGATCAGATGGGCGGGATATAAATACAATAAATAAATAAATTAATTAAAATAAAAACCAGAGCACTATCTTTGGACATTTTATTTCATGCTTAATTCTGGTTGTAAACTTCTTGCAAAATGCAGATGGTGTAAGATTTAGTCATATCGGCAGAACTGTTCTGTACTTCTGTTCTGTACAGAACTTTTCTGATCTTTGGCTGGAATCCAGAGAAGTACCCACGTAGAATGCTTACTCATGCATATAGAGAGGTTTGCCGTTCTCCTTCTCACAGGAGTGCCTCAGATCCTCACAGAATGCAACCTTGAAGTATCTCTTCCCTCCACTCAGGTTTTTAGAATTAGGAAACAGGCTGCAAAAGAACTGGGAACATTCTTATTGTGCCATCAGCCTTTTTGGATTCTAGTCCTTGTATGTAAGCAGTTAAAATTGGATCATGCAGAATGCTTTCACAGCACCAATAGTATAATGCTACACATCTTTGCAAAGTGACTGGATTTGTAAGTACTCTCAGCCAGAATCCTATTGGGACTTTGCTGCAGAGTAAGTGAATTATGCAGTTGTGACAACAGATTGCAGCTAATCAGATGCTTTGATGAATGCCAGTTGTGTGACCAGGCATGCCAATTGCAGTTTGTTAAGCAGTTTCTAGCTGCGATTTAAAACATTTTTTCAGTTATTCAATTAAAATCCAGATAGGATTCTGGCCACTGTATTCAGAGGAGCTTTTCATATATTTCTAAATCATGTCCTGTTTCAGCGAGAAGAGGTTCCAGATGACTACTATAAGCATGATCCTGATCACAAGCACATCTATCGCTTTGTACGTACCCTTTTTAGTGCAGCACAGCTGACGGCCGAATGTGCAATAGTGACATTGGTAAGGCTTGCTTTTTTACTGTTAGCTAGTTTTGAAGAAAAGAGCCGGAATGTAGTCCTCTGCCAGTGTCCTTTATGTTTGAGGATTAAATAGATACCACTTAATCAGTAGTCACAGATAACTTTACCTGAACTCCAGTTTGAGCATTAAGACTACTCATAATACATTGGATCATTTTACCTTGCAGCAGATTTTTGTGCAGAAAATGCACACCTTCATGAGATCTGCCTATTTAATATTTGTCACACAAATGCGCTGCAGGAATTGAATAAACACTACAATTCTCTTGAGATGCAGAAGTAGAAGATAAATGCATCAGGATGAAGCTTCTGAAGTTGGAATAATTGGACAGTCAATTCAGTGCCTCACATCTAGTAATATCATTGAGAACTGCAGACTGATTTATAAAACACATTCATAAACTAGAGTGATGAGGGCTTGAGTGTCTTGTTCACAGTATTGCTCTTCTGTAATGTTAGATAACAGAAGAGCAGCACTGTTCTGACTATTTTCAGATGGGGGATAATTGTATTCTTCCGTCGCAGTAAAAACAGCAAAGTATGAGGAATCAGACCTCAGGGAATATGAGAAACATAAAAGCTGCTGCCACTAGTTGGCAATGTTTTACCACAGAATGTAACAAAGTTGAACTACAAATAAGCCATGGAGGAGGAGTGACATTTTTATGTATCCTCCTCAATTTTGAAACAATTTGTTACAGATGTTGCAGACTTTCCCTAATAACCTTAATTTTTCAGTCAGGCATTCAGATATCTGGGCTACCTCTCCCAATAGACATGATACTAAAACTAGAAACAACAGAAATGCTTTGCTAAAATAAATCAGTGAGGGGAATTTGTAGATAAATATATCTTCAAATTAGTTTTCCATTGTTAAAAGTTCATCTTAGATAGGTTTACACATGCCATGCTCCATTGATTTCAGTGGAACATATTCCCATGTTAATGAACTTTGGACTGCAACTTCAGTTCTGTCATTTTACCTTTGAGTGGACCAGGTACCTATTATCAGCTGAGAATCTGTTTAGTGGAAATTGACATCTTAATGTTTGAAGATATGTGTATACACATATATGTGAATGGGAAGCATATCATTAGTAACGTTCTTGCAGTACTCAAGAACTGGAATAAAATGTTTTGAAGGACATACAGGATTTGCAGCTGATCTGGATAAGCTAGTGGTTTCCACCCTTGGGTCACCAGACATTTTTGGACAATAACTGTCACAAATCCTAGCCAGCACAATTTCTGGATGTTTTAGTCCAAGAACGTCTGGGGACCCAAAGTTTGGAATCACTGGGATAAGCTCTCACTAAAGCTTCTCCATCACTTCCCAGTGTTCCATGATTTGAGGAAGAATGATCCATTCTTGGTTCCTTGGAGGAGAAACCGGCCAAATGTAAATATAATACAAAATTTTCTGAATATTCTCAGAATGAAATTAGATTGTCCCTGATAGCACTGTTTCTGACTGCAACCATTTTGCTCATGCTGTCATAACAAAAGGGCATCACCATCACAAGTGGAGTTTTTTTGGGGGGACACATTGGGTTTATGAAGCTGATTATGGTGAGATTCTGAAAGAAAAGAGTTGTCAACAATGCAGCAGTGTTCGTATTGATGAGTCCTTATATGTGTTAAACACCTGAATTCTGACTGCTTTCTGTCCTGCATTGAAGAACTTGTGAATTCAGAAATTCTCAACACTTTTTTTTTTGCAGGTTTACTTGGAAAGGCTTTTAACCTATGCAGAGATTGACATCTGCCCAAGTAACTGGAAGAGAATAGTTCTAGGTGCTATACTGCTGGCTTCTAAAGTATGGGATGATCAGGCTGTGTGGAATGTAGATTACTGCCAAATACTGAAGGATATTACAGTTGAAGACATGTAAGTTTCAGGGTTAGTTAAACATGTTTCTCTTTGTCCTATCTATACTGCATTTGTGGATGTACCTGTAGTCTCCATTCTTTTCTTCTTCTTTTTAGCACCATACATGTTCTGGTGTTCCATTTAATGTGTCTTGGCCCCTAGAAGTATTTTGACATATTTTTCTCTGCTTGTAACAAATGGTATGCCTTACCTCCCTCTCGTATTCTTGTTCAGTGGCATATACACAAGTGCAGTTCTAAATATCACACAATTTAACAAAGGTGTCCTGTGTTTGTTTGTTTGTTTTTACAGCCCCCACCTCACCCCCTAGAGCTCACTAACATTTCCTGAAAAAAAAAATAGAACTCATTGGACAGCTTTAAAATTCTGGGGGATCAGGACCAGTGCATCCATTCTCAGCAGTGCATACAGTGGGGTCTTGACTTGAGAACTTAATCCGTATTGGAAGGCGGTTCTCAAGTCAAAAAGTCTGTAAGTCAAGTCTCCATTGACCTACAGTGCATTGAAAACCGATTAATCCCGTAACAGGCCGTTTTTGTTCCATTTTGGGGTTTTTTCTGGTCTGTAAGTCAAATCTCAGTCTGCAAGTCAAACCTAAATTTTGCGGCCAGAGGAGTCTGTAACTCAAAAAGTCTGTAAGTCAAGCCGTCTGTAAGTCAAGGGTCCACTGTATTAAAATTCCTGGCATGACTCTTTTGTCCTCTGCTTATGCAGTAAATAGCGAACCAATGGAGTCTGTTTCCATTTGTATACAGTACGGTTGTCACATAGTTTAACAAAAGGGAGGCTTGCAACCTCTATTATTATTGGAGCCCACCATCATTTCCTTAATGTTTTTAGGAATCCTTAGACATCCCTAGAACTGCATAAGCCCATCTGTGCTTCCCTTTGCAGGATTTCCTCTGCTTAACCAAACACTGCACTCCTGTTCTGTCACCATATCCTTTTGTCTTCAAGTAGGCATTTGATCCAAGCCAAGACTGGTGGTTGTTCTTAAACATTTCTTTAAAAGGAAAAGAACAAATGTATACTTTTTTCAATTTAAATTTTATAGTTTCATTTTCATAGAAGAGTTGCTTAAAAGTTGCTGTAAAACATTGGAAAGAGTTCTGTTTGCTGTTCATTAACATTTACTTAAACAGTGCTCAATTTCAGTGACCTGCTTTCTATGTAACTGTGGAGTCACTGCACTTAAGAGCCAGGGAGCCATTAAGCCGTCGGGAAGTTTAGCCCTCCCCAGCTGTGTTCCCAGAGCTTCAAAAGAAAATGTTCCCGTTTCTACCAGTTGAGATTTTTTTTTCTCAGAACCTGGTTGCTACATGATGATAGGATTGAGGAAAACAGACTATAAAGCCAGATCCAGACCTATTACAGCCTGAGTCAAGTTGCTGGTTCCTCATCTTTGCTTTAGAGGGTAAATTTAGAAACACAACTCATAATTTTAGTCTCATGTTTAATAAAGATGCATTATAGATAAGCAGGATGAGGGGTGATTGGTGGATTAAAAAAATTAAATATTCATCTTTTGGTTAAGGAAAAAGAGAGTTCATTGCCTTTTCCAAACTGTCACAAGAAACTTGAAACAAGAGGAAGCTAAATTCTTGATCATATAAAATACCTGCTTATTGGAGTGTCTCAATAAGAACAGGGAAAAACTAGCCACACAACATCTTGGCTCCCTACAGTTGCTAATCCTGTAGATTACAGTGTATATAAAAGAGGAGGCATGCTGTTCATTCTTGAGCTTCATGTAATGGCAAATAAAGTGACACAAATGCTTTTCCTAGGCTTTAACCCCCTATTAATAGATGTGTTAATCTGGCAAGGTATTGTATTTTTACACAATTAAAATGTATTAGCAAGGCCTGTACAAAAGGGGAAATGAATCCGTGATCAGCTGATCATCAAAACATTATCTGATTTGCATTTCTATAAGCTTTATGAGCATATGAGCAGGAAATTAATTCTAGCAGTAGATTTAATGGGACTCTATTCCATCCTGCTGGAAAGAAATCACACAAAGCTTCTATTCTAATTGAGACTAGCCGTCTAGGTGATTGATTCCTCTTTGTTTCCAGGCCCTGCAAGTAAAATGAACATATTTTAAAAAGGAAAGATTTCTCTCCTCCAGTTTTCCTCAAAGTGTTGTGGAAAAAATTGACTGCTAGCATGTAGTTGTCTTTTATGCATTTGCCTTTTCTTGGGAATAAAGTTGCATTGTCTGTTGGATCAATAGACAAGGTTTTACCTTCAGTTAGAATAAGTTGGAGGGAATTTTACAGATCTGTCTGAACTTCACAACACAGGTCAACAAAGAGCTCAGCCTACAGGTTGCAGGGAATGCAGGCTGACTGGGCACGGAGTAACAATATGGTTGTCATAGGGATCTAAGCTGTCTGGGATGGGGGTCCTCTATGGTTAGTGCTCTTTGTGTCTCCAGTGAGTCTGGTACTTCCAACTTCAGCTGGACATCCACAGGCACTCGCCTGTTTCATGACACTCGGCATGTGCAACATGACTAGATGTTCCACTACTCCTTTCTTGGTCCCTTTTGCAGCAGCAGACAACTCAGGCACCATTCTAAAAATGGTTTTGCCAGTAATTTTTAAAAAGTGTTTAAAACATGATTTATTTTCTTCATCCATAAAGCACGTGTAACTTTTGACGTTCATGTTTAAGTTCTTACACCTTGCATTATAGCCTAGTGAGTGCAAGGAATTACTTTATTTTAGTAGTGTATGAGCTTGGATTCTTACTGCCTAATAGTATCTCACATTTAAATCTATTATAGTGGAGGACTTCATTTATGTTTCTTATATTTTCAGCGTATTGAGTGCTTGTATAAATGAAATTCAGCTACTTTTGAGCCTGCAAATATAAAATTAAAAGTTCTGTATGCAAATATAAAATACTTTACATATAAATGATAGGTAAGAAATAGAACAGTGATTTCTGACAAAAGAATTTGAGGGCTTGAGGACTGATGCAGAGGTTATTGATTGCAAGCCCATCTTAAGAATTTTGGTGAAATATGAGTAAAGAGTCATTCTTTGAGACCTTCTACTTTCTGAGGTTTTTGTTTTTGTTCTTTCTAAACATTCTGAAGAGGTGCTGGCCTACACCTGAATCCACAGGATGGATTTTGGTAAAATAAGGCTGGAGACAGCCTTAAAAGAATTCTTTTTCCTATCTTCTGCAGATAAAGTATCCTCTCAGGAGTTTTAGGGCACAGAACTCTTTCGCCTACCTAATGCTGCTTGCTTGCTTATTTATTTATTGCTGGAGATGAATCCGTGTTGCCTCAAGAGGCTTTTTACTCCAAGATAATAGCGCAGCTCTTCAGAGATCCATTTGTTGCCGTGGTGATATGCCTACTTCTTTTGTTGGTCTGCCTCTACTTCAACAAAACCCCTTCCTGTCATCAACCTGGTGAAAATGTCTGCAAGTTCTTCAGAGCTAATCAACAGCCCACATCATTCTTTTCATCTGATAACCACAGAACTGGGCCTTGTAAGAATAAGAATGGAGTATGAATTGTGTACATCTGTGCTAATGGAACTCAAAACAACAGTGCTTCCAAGTTAGCAGACTGAGTGCATGACAGAACATAACCTTGTCCCTCAAACTGCAGGTCTCAGTATTCAGATGGTGTCTTTCCTCTGATATGGAGAAGATTAGTTTTCTCTTCCCTTAATGCTAATAAAACAAAGTTTTGGTTGCATTTTGGTTCTGAATAATATCAAGGCCCTGAATTTGCCTGTTTTTGCCATACACATCCACGCCCCATTTTCTTTTCCTCTTATCATTTCTTTTCCAGGAATGAGATGGAAAGACACTTCTTGGAGCTGTTGCAGTTCAATATCAATGTTCCTGCCAGTGTTTACGCCAAATACTACTTTGACCTTCGCTCCTTAGCAGACGACAACAACCTGAGCTTTCTGCTGGAGCCCCTTAGTAAAGAGCGAGCACAGAAACTGGAGGTAATGGTTCTGAGACTTGATGCCCTGAGTTCTTTGTGTGACGGAAGCTTCTGTTGTTGATGATCTCACATTAGTTTGTTTGGCAAAGCTTCTTGGCAAGCTTTTATTGGCAGGTTTAGCCTTCACAGAAAATCTTTGATGTTAAAGATAACTGTTCCTGAAATTTATGTATATTTTCAAAGGGAAATAGAAAAGTCTCAAAATGAGCCAGTGTATATTTACCACATCAACTTTGAGGCTGTAATTCCTAATATCTGAAGAAGAGAAGGGTTAATGGATGAATTGCTTGATAAATGAATCTCTTTAATATGTGAGAAAAGAAAGAAGTACACATTAATTGTTCAGCATTGCAAATTCCTCCTAGCTTTTAATTGTATGTGAGTGCCTGTATATCTCAAAGCTGTTTATTTTCTTTTTTAAATTAAAAAAAATCTTTACACTGATTGGTTATAGATATCTGCCAAGAAGGAGATATCTCACTTTATTTGCTGGGATTTATTGGCAGGTATGTTGGTAAAGAATTGTAGTCTCAGTAAAGTTTCTTATTTTTGTTTTGATCATAACCTTCAGTGATAAGGAGTAACCCGGTTTTGATCATTGCTGAGTACTTCTGTAGGTTTTTTTTAAAGTTGCTGCTGATGTCACACACACAGAGAGAGAGAGAGAGAGAGAGAGAGAGAGGTGCTTCACATGTTATTTCTGTTTTCAGAAGAAATATGTACCAAGGACTGAAATGCCATGCCCTACCTGAGGTGGAAGACTTAGCCAACAAAGGTTAACAGTTCAGTGAATTAAATCAGTTAAGTTTAAGTTAGAGGACGCAAGTTTTCAGTAGTTAAGTTGGCATAAAATTACCATTTTATCTAGGTGATGGCAGTAGAGCCTTGCCAGAAAAAAAGCTAGAAAAATCTCACCTATTATTTTATTCCTCTCCTTGTTGTCATTCTGAGGTTTGAAGAGAAGGAAGTAGCTACATACAGTGTTGAGAAACTCATTTTCCATCCCAGCAAAGCCCTTCTCTTGCTTACCCCACCATGCCTTGCAATCTCATATCCTTTCCTTCTCCCTTTATGACTCACTCATTCACAAGTGAATCCAAAGAATACCCCCAAGGAATGAAAGTTCAGTTTTCTGGAGCAAAGTGAGGAGCCTTTGCGTAGTGCCCACTGTAGAACACAAGAGATGACCACCATCTTGGATGCAAAGAAGAACACCACCCCTTCCTAAGCCATTTTTCTTTTCTATTAGTTTAAAATCCTTCCACCTTGCACTACAAGGCTGAATTACATAGTGATGGCTACCAGTTCTGTACTCTGCGCATGCATCAAGGGGCCACTTCAGTGTTCAGTGAGGCTTAGTCCCAGGAAGAGTAGATTGCAGTTGGCTACCGAGGCAAACTGATACAGATGTGCTCAGAAGCAAATCCTACTGCTTTCTTATGTCTATTTTATTTGTTAGTTATACATATAGTCTGTCTTCTCCAAATATTTCACCGTTATAAACATATCTTAGTACTGAATAGAAATGCATAGGATTGCATGGCTTGATGTTTTTAACCAGATAAATTGAGTCTGTTATATATAATTCTGCATTAGGCAGCAGTTGTTTTGCTATTTTACTTCTTTGCTGTTTGCACTTTGTTTGAAGAGAAGGCATAGCGCAGATGTGAAGAGTTGACATCAGTCTTTATAGTTTTCTGTTTTGGTATTCAAAATTTCTCTTCTGTTGGAAAGTTCCAAATCAGATTTTTTTAATTAGAGCAAACCCAGCCCCAGCTACCTCTGCACCTACTCCTATCCTCTTCTTTTCTTCTTGGGAGTAGATTTTGTTTTGTCATGAAGCTTAATTTGAATTCAGGGTTGTGAATCTTATAACAGGGTCTCTGCCTTATGAAGGGGTGTTAAAGTGGTGCTCCTAAACTTGTTCAGAGTGTCTTCCCATTTTCAGAAGATGCAGAAGTGAGCAACTAAAGTGATTCCTGGGCTGGGGCACCTCCCTTATGAGGAAAGGCTACAGCGTTTGGGGCTCCTTAGTCTAGAGAAAAGCCACCTGGGGGGGGCATGATTGAGATGTATAATATTATGGAGGGGAAGGATAAAGTGGACAGAGGGAAGCTCTTTTCCCTCTCATGCAATACCAGAACCAGGGGACATCCACTCCAATGGAGTGTTGGGAGAGTGAGAACAGACAAAAGAGAATATTTCTTTACCCAGCATGTTGTTAGCCTGTGGAACCCCTTGCCACAGGATGTGGTGATGTCATCTGGCCTAGATGCCTTTAAAAGGGGGATTGGACAGATTTCTGGAGGAAAAGTCCATTGCAGGTTACAAGTCATGATGGGAATGTATAAATCTCCAGGCTTAAAATGGAGGTACGTACCTCCAAATGCCAGATGCAAGGGAGGGGGATCAGAAGACAGGTATCTAGTTGTCTCAAGTGCTCCCAGAGGCATCTGGTGGGGCCACGGTGAGAGACAGGAAGCTGGACTAGAGGGGCCCTTGGCCTGATCCAGCTTCTGAGGTTCTTATGAATATTCAGGTGTGAGTTATAAAATGGCTTGGAATCGGTTTGGAGAATGAAAGGTTGAAGGGGAACCATAGAGGCTGGTGGGAGGTACGTTTTAACTCTAATAATTAAGGGATTTACAGATTTCTCTAATCTGCAAGACAGCCTTTGTTGAAATGGCAGGGATACAATCAGTCAGACCATCAGAACACCCCAGGCAGGAAGCTTTGCTCGCCAAAATTCAGCAGTCGTTCCTGCTCGACAAGGAAACAACCCCACGCAGGATGATTCACAATCCTGCTGATCCATTTTGTTGAGTTCTGTAATAGGTATCACCTCAATTGGGCTGTAATTCATTTTTTGAGGACTAGGTATAAGCCGGAATGGGAGGGAACAGAGTGGAGCAGGGATTTCTGAATAAAGATCAATGCCAAAATCATTGGATAGCAATGTACAAACATCAGAATGATTTTTTAGACCTCCCAGAGGCATCTGGTGGGGCCACTGTGAGATACAGGACGCTGGACTAGATGGGCCCTTGGTCTGATCCAGCAGGACTCTTCTTATGTTCTTATGTTCTCACTGATTAAGAATCATAGAAAATTAATAATGAAGACAGTAATGTCCATATATTGAAGTACCTGATACAGATCCACCCAAACATAGAGCTGACTCTTTCAACTCAGTATTTGGGATTGTTGTTGTTTAGTCGTGAAATCGTGTCCAACTCTTTGTGACCGCATGGACCAGAGCACGCCAGGCCCTCCTGTCTTCCACTGCCTCCTGGAGTTTGGTCAGATTTATGTTGGTAGCTTCAGTGACACTGTCCAACCATCTCATCCTCTGCCGTCCCCGTCTCCTCTTGCCTTCACCCTTTCCTAACATCAGCGTCTTTTCCAGGGAGTCTTCTCTTCTCATGAGATGGCCAAAGTATTGGAGCCTCACTGTCCTTCCAGTGAGCACTCAGGCTTGAGTATTTGGGATTACAACTCCCAATACTGTATAGCCTAAAGTTTGCTACTGTGTTTCCCCAAAAATAAGACAGGGTCTTACATTAATTCTTGCTCCAAAAACACATTAGGGCTTATTTTCAGGGGATGTTTTATTTTTTTCATGTACAACAATCTATGCTTATTCAAATACAGTCTTGTCAGTTTCTTCTGGTTGCTGCACAAGGGTGGAGGGTGGGGTTTCACTTGGGCTTATTTGGGGGGGCGTAGGGCTTATATTATGAGCATCCTGAAAAATCATACTAGGGCTTATTTTCAGGGAAATGGTATTTTCTAGTTTAGAGGGGAGATTTATTTTTCTTTGCCCTTTGTCATTATCATAATGCTACAACACACACACCTCTAGATGCACTGACCATCAAAATGTAATACAGATTAGCTGCATCTTTATGATCTTCAAGTGTGAGGCTTAATTTTAAGTACCAAAGTTCCATTATTCTGGATGCCTGAAAATACCTCTTCCCTAACGTTTGATGGAATTTTATTTTGCAGATGGTTAGAGGCACTTTTGATGGATTATCATCACTTGTTATGGCAGAGCTAAATCCTGTCACTGAAAATATCAGTTATGCCTTTGTATTCTGTGTTAGATGGCACTGTGACCTTCCCGTCCTGTTAAGTATTCATAATGAAGTAAGGCTGAACTGCTCTATGCACTTACCTGGGAGGAGTTGTTGTTATGTGCCCTCAGGTCACTTCCTCTGAATGGTGACCTTACAAGTGAGGGATCTCCAAAATGTCCTTTCGTTAACACACCTTGTTTAATCACCCAGCTATGAGCATATCAATTGCTGGAAATACATCTGCACATATGCTGTTTTCAGAGGGGAGAAGGACAATAATGGTGAATGGAGGGGGTGACTGGTATTCAAAGAAGGGAATCCATAGGCAGCTCAGATACACCTCTTGATATGCAGGAGTAAGGCCTTCAACCCACCCAGCCCTGATCTGTGAAAAATTCCAAGTCACCTGTCATAGTCTCTAAAATATTTCTTACCTGTCCTAAAACCAGATTTACAGTTGGAGCACATGTGACTTCCTCCTCTTCTCTCCTCTGGCTGAACTGCTTAGGAGGGAGAAGAGAACCAGGAGTCTGTACAGTGGTGCCTCACTTGACGAGGATAATTTGTTCCGTTCAAATCGCTGTTAAGTGAAATCCTCATCAAGCAAAATGAAAAACCCATTGAAAACCGGTTCAATGCGTTCCAGTGGGTGAAATACCTCAGCGTCCAGCGAAGAACCTCCATAGGGCGGCCATTTTCCAGTGCCTGTAATGCAAGGAATCCATCCTAAAGCACAGTGGGGAGCCATTTTGAATCCCGACAATCAGCTGTTTTTGATCGTCGTTAAGCGAAAAATCGGTTTCCGAAGCAGGGAACCGATCAATTTATTTATTTATTTATTTATTGGACTTATATACCGCCCCATAGCGCTACAAGCACTCTCCGGGCGATCAACATTAAGCGAAAAAAGCCCATTCAGTCATCATTTAGGGATTGCAATAGCAACCGCAAAAAACTAATCATCAAGCGATTTCCTCATCTAATGAGGTAATCGTCAAGCGAGGCACCACTGTATACAGCCTTGAGTTCTCAAAGTCCGCTGTCTGTGGTGGACGTAAGAGAGCCCCTTAAGGCTGCAGCAAAGGGAGCTTTGCAGCCATCAGTGCTGCTTCTCAGGTCTTTCTTAAGGTCTTTTTAACAGTTAAAGCATAATAAAGTTAAACAAACACTGAATTAACCATTTTGGGGTGGGGTGGAGAACTAAATCAATTGGCTGATAATTTATTTTTTGACTGTTCTTGTTGGTTTCTGAGTGCCACATAAGTGATTTTCTCCAGTGTAAAGGCACATACTTTGTAGTGTTCTTGAGGACTTGAGGTGTATCTGTCTGTTGCTGGGGCAAACAAATGACACTACCCTTTTTGGGTATCCAGAATGTAGGTATCCAGAGCAATGTGTGATTCAATATAAAAATATTGCACTGGCGCTGTTAAAAGCATTTCCTCATTTTGGCCACATTTTTTATTTCAAGTTAGTTTAGTATGCCCTCCTAGCTAATCTTCATGAACAACATGGATGTGTTCTTGATACTAAAAAGAAGAGTCAGGAAAAGTGTTGAAAAGGAAGCTGAGGGACTTTTCCATGGAGATGTTGGTCAAGCCTATTGGTCCTCCTCTCCAAAGCTAAATGTTTGCTGATTTTCCTGAGGGGTCCTAAGAGCATGTGAGCAGCTGTCTCTTCAGATAAGTAATGAACTTGGCGAACTGAGTTAAACTAGGGACTTCTTTTGGATATTAAAACTCACAGAGAGAGAGATCAAGCCAGTGGGAAGTAATTCAAGGCAGTCTGGATATAGGGGAGGGCTTTTTCCCCCTCTGAAGCCTTGTAATTTCTGAGAATATGATGTTTCTTCTTTGTCTTAGTTTTGATGAAAGATTATGCTTTTCAAATAATTTATTTGTTGTATTCGTGAAGGCTTTCAGGGCGAGGATCTAATGGTTGTTGTGGGTTTTTCAGGCTCTTTGGCCATGTTCTACTCCTGTCCTATGAAGATGCCGGCCACAGGGACTGGCAAAACGTTAGGAAGAACAACCTTCAGAACACAGCCAGAGAGCCCAAAAAACCCACAACAACCAATTTATTTGTTGCTTCCCAAGAATTTTAAAATCCTGTGTAGTGCCTGATCTGCACAGAAGTCTCACTGAGGCTAACAAAAGCCTAGAACTTTTGTGGATATTGCTGAAGGTTTTTTTTTTATTATTAATGTAACAGTAGTCAACTAGAACTAGAAAAAGTGACATGAAGGGAAAAGGAAGGAAGGAAGAAGATTGACTAAGTCTGAGGAAAAAAGATTTAAAAGGCAACTAACAGGAAAGGTATTGTAAGCAAAATATATAAATTATTGGTACGAGCAGAATATGAAACATCCATGATAAAAGATTTGTGGCAGGGTAAAGAAATTAAAGGGGAGGAATGGAGCAAGATATGGAATACAAGAATAATGAAAAACATGCCAGTAAGAATTAAAGAGCATTTCTACAAGGTAATATGGAAATGGTATTTAATATCTGTTCAATTAAACATGATTTTAAACATCTCTGTGTACAGGGTGTAAGAAAGAGAAAGGGATGTACATGTATATGTGGTGGTCCTGTGAAAAAGGAAGGATAGAATGGAGCTTCGTTTTTAATGAAATAAGAAACATAATGTGAATAGACATACAGTTGTCTCCTATGATTGCCTTACTGCATGCTGTTAATGATAAACAAGTAAAGAGAGAGAAAAGTTGATTACCATAACGGTAACTGGCAAGGCTACTAACTGCAAAGAATTGGAAATGTGACTATCAGATTAAGACAGAAGAGTGGTACAGAGAAATGTGGAATCTGGCAATTAATGATAAATTGACTTGTGATATGAAAATTGGAAGATGTATGTTTAAAAATGATGATTTTAAAGACACATGGAATCCATTTCTAGAACATGTTTGACTAAATGGAAGGGGTATACACCAAAATAATAATCAGTGTATTTTTTCTGGAGACATACTATGTGGCATGAATTGTAAAGTTAAAGTATTGGAACCTAGTCCTGAAGGGGAGAATGGCACATGGTATTGTATAGGAGTAGCGAATTATGTAGTTTATGTTTCAATTTTTATTGTCTTTTTTGCATCTGTTATAATTTAAAATTTTTAAAAAGTAGTCAATGAATTTATGAGTGAGGTGAAAAGTAAAAGCAGTGACATTTGTGCTGACTTGAAAACTCTTCTTGCCTTAATAATGCTAAAAACATGTCTCTGCTTTAAATATGTTTTATAGGCCATCTCCAGGTTATGTGAGGACAAATACAAAGATTTGTCAAAAGCTGCTATGAGACGATCCTTCAGTGCTGATAACTTAGTTGGCATTCGCCGTTCTAACGCCATCCTCTCTTGAGCAAGATGGAACGCTGTGACGTCGTGGCACCAGCATTCGTACAGACAGGACCACCACCTCCACTCCGAGCACACACATCAGCAGTGATGGTGTCTTTCAGCCAGAGGACAGGGTGAGCAAATCAAGCCAAGGAAGGCCCGAGCCAGAGGAGCGCAATTCCACAGGGTGGGGGTGGGTGGGGGAAGATGGGACCTTGTCAAGTGGGCACACTCCTTTAAAAACCCAGAGGTGCAAAAAAAAAACATTTTGGAGAGCTTTTTCCCTCTCTTTTTTTTTCACACTCCCTCCTCCCATTCAGAGATGTTTGCTTACTGTGTAGGCCTATAGCTGTGAACTGTGTGAGTTTTTAATAATGACTAGTTTTAAATTTTAGAAGTTGAACATGAATGCAATAGTCACAATGTTCCACCTCTACCCCATGCGCCCAGGCCCTGGCTACCGTTGCCTTTTTCAGTCAGTGCAGTACTCCACACTAACCTCGTTTAAGGCCACTTGGGAACTGATGCTGTAGCACTGACAGGTGACGGGTTCTTCACTCCACCACCAGCCACCCTGTTGCATGTTTACTGACAAGACTGTCTGGTACCCTGGTGTTCAGTTAAAGACCAAGGAGCTGCTGAGCAGCAAGCTGTGCTAACCATGTAAACACCCCCCTCCATTTTGAGATTGTCCAGGAGTTCAGAATGTTCAGGATGGGAACAGGGAAATGGGGTTCACTGCTATTAAAACAAGTTGGTTAGGGGCCATTTCTTGACAGCTATGGTGCTTTTCATATTCTTACCCAGTTTTAGTCAAGGCCTGCTAGAGATGCAGCCCACCTATTTTTTGATTTGCCTGAAGTGCAGAATAGAGCTGCACTGAAAGCTTGGCCTGAATAAATCAACTGACTTGATGAACAGACAGTAAGGTGTTCTGCTAAACTCTTCCACTACAAATAATGGATAGGGAGCAAGTCTTGCTCTTGGCCTATGCTTCCAAAAAGCTTTAAATTAACAGTGGAGAAGTCCTGAATTTGATGATGGGGAGGTATGATAATCTTCAGTTCATATAAACAATGCCTTTGAAAAGACTTCTTTTCTTAAAAGCCTGGTATTTAATACCTGTTTCTCTGGAAGTGAACTTCTAAATGTTAGCTTTCTTTAAATTAAGTTTTCTCATCCAGAATGGGAATTCAGGATGAATTAACCATTTTTGCTTCTAAAAATAAGAAGCATAAATAGATGTCCTGCATTCGAAACTGTCGCATTTCCAGGGTAAACATCTAAAGGGTTTGTACTTTAAAACACCAGGTATCTGGTGTAGTGCAAAATATTGTGCTGCCTCTCTTACAATGTGGTTTCCTTTGTTATATTAAACATTGAGCCCAATTTGTTTCTTGAGTGTTCACCGGCACTCAGACTGTTAGTTTCATGCAGTATTTTAATCTACCAGCTCCAGGCCGACATTCTACAGAGTCTGTGGCTTCAGGTATTGATCACAATTCAGTTTTGGGGGCGGAAATGCTACATCTTCAGGTGGCTTTCCTTTCTCATGTTTGTATTAAAAGAGAAGCTAATAATAAACTCTATTTTAATTAATATGAAGTGTGTCTTCTTTGCTTTGTATTTTTGTTTCCCTTTTTTTTGTCCACTTTGGCCACTGTACACTGCTCAACCATGAAAATTCATTCAGGGTGCAGAATAGACAAACATTATTTGTATGCAGTCTCTGTCTGTATCAGTGGGTCATACATATGAACCCTCAGCAAGTTTCACTGAACCGTGATGCAGCTATGCTTGCTAGATTGTAACCAGTACATTTAATGTTCAGTTTACTGCTTTGACTGTCAATCAGATCTCACAGTAATAAAGGACATAACAAAACTGGTAGAAAATTAATAAGCCTGGACAAACAAAATAGTTTTCATCTGACAAGAAAATTGGAAGTTCAGTGCCAAGCTAGTTATTCTGCACTGACTACTCTGCAAGTAGAGTACCTCCCACCAAAAAAGGACTGTGCCATCTCAACACTTGCCTGTTCTCTGAAGGCAGGAGATTTGGAGAAGAATCGTCTGAGAATAAGTAAGTGTAAAATTTTATTGTCAATCACCTTGTTCTGTATACATATGGGCCTGGGTGGGATCACGGTAAAAGAAACATCAGGCTAAATCCAGTTAATCCGTATAAGAGTAGATGGATTAAACGGGTAGACCTTATTAAATCAACATATGTGTAAGTCCCATTGATTGAGTGGTTCTTTTGTAATTTTAGGACTTCAGTCCCAGAAGTTGACTGGAATCTAAGGCAGAATTCTGAGTCTGGGAAAGGAGAAACCCAAAAGATGTTTTTGTACTACCATTGTGTATTCACTCGACATGGTTTGGCTGGAAAGGAAAAGAAAAAGAAAATGCCCCCTCAGTTGCACTGGTCCATGGGTGAGTCGTTCAGTGAGATCCTTCCCCCATAGATCCTAGTAAGTAGTGAGACTAATTTATGGACAGATTAGTCTCACTACTTCACAAAAAGGAGTGCAACTGAAGGGTGTTTCCTTCTGCTTTCCCAGACAAAACACAGTATCTTGGTTGTTGTTTTTCTCTCCCTCTCATAGCCCCAGAAGTCTGCCTGGGGGGTTCTAGGTGACTTCTAGGACTGGAAGTCCTATAAGTATGAAAATCTCATCATTATTGGTGCTAGCCAGATTACCTGTCAGAGCGTCTTTCCCCAATGTCATCTGCCTGACCACCAGATCTCAGGCCAGGCTCCTCCATGTAGCCACCCCAAAAGAGGCCCAAAGGTCATCTACAAGAGGTAGGGCCTTCTTGGCAGTAGCACCTATGTTCTGGAATAAACTCCCAGAGGATCTGTGCCTGGCCCCCTCCCTCATTTAGGAGGCAGTTAAAAACACTACTATTCAGGGAGACCTTTCATGTTGACCCTGGCTGAATGCCTCACCTCCAGTTGGCTCACTCCGAAGATTAGTTGCAGCATTAAATTTTTAGACTATGTTTTTTTGCTCTTCATGCTGTATTTAGTTCTGTGTAGCTTGTTTTAACTTTCTGTAAACCACCCAGATGAGTGCTTCAGCACTAATGGGGTGGTATATAAATCAAAGTAGTAATAGTATAGATAATAATTGGATTTAGTCCTTTCATCTTTAGAAGAATATTCTCACCTGAGAACTTTGTAGTTTTTCAACTTTATGCACTTAATCTTGAAGTCCCATTGAATTTGGTATGTTTACTGCAAGCACCTTTTCACTTAACTCACTGAGCGTGTTGCAGTGGATAGAGTGAGGGACTAGGGCTCAGACGGCCTGGGTTTGAATCGCTGCTCAGCCGTGGAAGCTCACAGGGGGTACGGAACTGGTAAAGCCACTTCATAAATATCTCACTCACCTTCAGAATTCTATGACGGTAGCTATAGGTCGCTTGACTTGACAGTACATAACAACAAACACCAATTCAAGACAGGTATGAAAGAATGGCTGTCAGATGTAGTTATGGGATTCTAAGTGTTTTTCCCTTAGACTTTTAAATGGGCCCCCAAGATGTATATTAATAAACTAGTTTTTGTTTGTGGAAACAAATGCAAGCTTAACCAGGTCTCCAAGCTGTTAAAAGTGCGGTTTTATAGAGTATAATTGCAGTGCTCCATTACCAGTGGTAGCATACCATATATTTACATCCAGTGAAAATGAATGGGGAATTGGACTTGAACAACATCATCTGCAAAAATGACTGGTTCCATGTAGGACTGAAGCCAGGCAGAGAAAGGGTTGAAGAGAGACAGGCATTCCTTCCAAACTTTCATATCAGTTTGTTATTATCTGTCTTTTGAGCACAGTAACAGAATACATGCAATTACCTGTACATTTTTACCCTTTTGATGAACCACTGTAGTGGATACAGTGACAAGATTCAGGACAACTGGTTTCCATACATGGCCATGGAAAGGCAATGAAGGGGTGGCAGGCACTGGTAAAACCATTCTTTAAGTATCTCATATCCCTTGAAACCCCTATTTAGGGTCATCATGAATCAGATGCAACGTGGCAGCATGCAATGTGACATAAAAATAAATGGATGTTTCTAGGATGTAAGGTGTTAAATATTTCAGAATGGCATTATATGTTCAGAAAATGAGAGACAGTACAGTAGGTTAATGTGCCCAACTCTGCCAAGTTCTCAAAAGTGCTGTTGTGGAATGCTACTTTGGTTATTGTCCCTATGGTTATGTGATAACAGCCTTCTGATGCATGAGAGCACTTGGTGGCTAGTGGCAAACTAGCTGTGTACGTGTTACTTTCGATGCAAACTCTCTCTGATATGGCCACTCCACCACATGGAGGAAATTTTGAGAAGGGGCCCAGCCTCTCCCGTTCATCTTGTCTCCAAGGTGATTAAATATTGAAACCTCTCAAAATGGGTTTGGCAATAGAGGACACACACTTGAGAAGGGAAATAAAGGTTCAGAATGACCTACTGCTGAGTAAGGAGATAAGTGGCACACAGGAAAAGAGAATTGAGTGTTAAAAGTTCAGGTGGAGTCAGTCTATACTAAAAGTCCATGAACTCAGTGCTGCAATTGTCACTCTGTGTTGGGATTACATCATAACGTATCTTGACTTCAACAAAACTTTTGACAAAGTGTCCCATGATACTTTGATTACCAAACTAAGTGTGGGCTAGACAGAACAACTGTCAGATGGATCTTCAGTTGGTTACAGACTTGTACTCAGAGAGTGCTTATGAATTGTTCCTTCCCAAACTGGGAAGAGGTAAGAAGGAAGGTACCATAAGGCTCAGTCTTGGGCTCTTCAACATTTTTATTAATGACGTAGATGAGGAAGTGTAGAGAATACTTATCAGATTTGTGGACGATACTAAATTGGGTGGAAAGCTAATACCCTGGAAGACAAAATTCAAAAAGATCTTGATAGGCCCAAGCACTGAGCTGAACACAACAGCATGAAATTTAACAATGGTAAGTGCAACATTCTACACCTAGGAAAAAGAAACCAAATGTATAGTTGCAAGATGGGAGATACTAGGCTCAACAGTATGGCATGAGAGTTGGATCTTGGAATTGTAGATTACAAGCTGAATATAAGCCAACAGTGTGATATTGCTGCAAAAAAGGCAAATGCTATTTTAGGCTGCATTAACAGAGGTATAGTAGCTAAATCCCATAAAGTGCTAGTTCTCCTCTATTTGGCATTGGTTAGGCCTCATCTTGAGTATTGTGTCAAGTACTTTAAGAAGGATGCCAACAAACTGGAACAAGTTCAGAGGAGGGTAATAAGGATGTACATAGTACTGGAAATCAAGCCTTGTGAGGAAAGAGTAGAAGAACTGGGCATGTTTAGCCTTGAGAAAAAGACTTGGGAGAGATACAATAGCATTCTTAAAATATTTGAAAGACTGTCACACAAAGGAAGAATAGGATCAGTTCTGTCTTTCCAGTGTGAGGACATCGCAGGTTACAAGCCATGATGGGGATGTATAACCTCCAGGATTAAAAGGAAAGTACAGTGGTGCCTCGCATAGCGAGGTTAATCCGTTCCGGATTAACCTTCGCTATGCTGAAGCATCATTAAACGGTGCAGAAAAGCCCATTAGAACGCATTAAACATGGTTTAATGCGTTCCAAATGGGCCAAATACTCCCCGTTCAACGAAGCTTCGTAATGGCCGGCAGCCATTTTCGCGCCCTCGCCTCGCTTAACGAGGGCGCGAAAACGCTGCACGCGGCCATTTTGGGCCATTTCCGGCCATTTCCGCGCTTCCGGCGGCCCTTTTGGCCGCCGAACAGCTGATTGTCGGGCTTCGTTTTGCGAAGATTGGTAAGCGAAACGCTTACCGGTCTTCGCAAAGCGAATTGAGCCCTATTCAAAAGACGTTAAGCGATCGCATTAGCGATCCGAAAAAACGGATCGCTATGCGATTTCGTCGTTATGCGGTGCGCTCGTTTAGCGAGGCACCACTGTACCTCAAAATGCCAGCTGCAGGGGAGGAGTATCGGAAGACAGGTATCTAGTTGTCCCGTGTGCTCTCCGAGGCATCTGGTGGGGCCCCTGTGAGATACAGGAAGCTGGACTAGATGGGCCCTTGGCCTGATCCAGCAGGACTCTTATGTTCTTATGACATGTAATAATGGTCTCACATTACTGGAAGCCAGCTTTCCGCTGAGTATCAGGAAAATCTAAGTGTTAGAGAAATGCAACAATGGAGCTAATTGCTTCAGGAGGTGGTGAGCGCTCCAGCCCAGGAGGAACTCAAAAGGAAGTTAAACAACCATCCGCCATAAGAATTTGGATTTCTGCATTGAGCAAGGGGTTTGACTCATTGGACTGCCTTATAGGCCCCTTCCAACTCAATTATTCTGATTCTATGAAAACTGGCTGAAATTTTTTAAAAGTGTGTATGTATTTTGTGCAGAGCAATATTGTTTCCTGCTGCTAGTTTTGAGTATAGGCCCCTTCCAACTCAATTATTCTGACTCTATGAAAACTGGCTGAAATTATTTTTTTAAAGTGTGTACGTATTTTGTGCAGAGCAGTATTGTTTCCTGCTGCTAGTTTTGAATCTGCCTAGAATCTGC